GGTTTCCCTAAATGTGTGTATTGTGCAATGCAGTGGTACCTTTGTATTTCCAGTTTTAATAGGTGTGGAGCTAGATGAGACAGTCTTACCTTGTGTCTTGAACTTCTTGTAAAGAGTATTTTCCCCCCAGGTCTCTGCCTTTCTTGTCCTTATACTTGAATTAAGCTGTGCTAATGAGATTTGAGAGACCCGGCTGCCCCCGCCAAAGCAGCCTCACACTGCACAAGAAGTTGACATGTGATGAACAGCCCTTTGAACCAAGGAAAGACAACTCTGTCAGAGCAGTTACTCTGGCAACAGTATTTCTAATGGTGATTAGCTCCGAAACAGAGCACAAAAAGGAGTCGGTTCATTATGGAGGCGCAGCTCTGGGTTTTGGGGAGAGGAGGTGACCTGCTATTTCTCCCATGAGTGAATTTAGTCCTCTGATAGTCAGCCCCATGCTGTCGAGGGTGGAATAGGAGAGCTTTGTTTGGGGAAAATTAGTGTATGGGTAACTTTTTTCTATGTGCAAATGGAAACAGTGGTGGTTTGCAGTGCAGATCTGTTGTGCTGGGGTGCTGAAACCTTGCTTTACAGCTCAGAGACTGGTAGACCACCGAGCTTTCCTGCTTAGCCGTAAGGTCCTTCCAATAAACAATCCATCCAGAAGTTAGCAGGGGCTGCTTACGAATGAGCGGTTTGACTAACAAAAAGTAGCGTTTGAGATGAAAGTGTCAGGGGGTGGGAAGGTTAATTTTGTTTTGGTGAGCTAGGTCAGGCATGGAAGAAGAGGCATTCAAGTCAAGAGCTTTCTCTCCAAACTCGGACATTTTATTCATCTTGCAGACCAGGAGTTTCACATGCTTTTAATTAACAAGGCCTTAAAGCAGGATATAGCTTCTAGTCATTCTCGCTTGTGAAATTAGGTTTAAATGTATGAGAAATTAGTGTCAGTCTTCCCCAAAGACCAAATATTTGCTAAACATCAATTCTCCTGGTTTACAACTCTAAATGTCCTTGCCATATCCCTATTTATTTGCAGAAGAGTTCTTGACTTTGCAAATAAATTTTGTTTAGCTTTTCATACGATAGATAGATGGCTTACAATAAAAATCTCAGAAATTGATAGCTTAATTGAGTATATGAAAATAGAGAGGATGCAATTGATTTTTAAAAATAGTTGAAATGCCTGTCACTATCTTGATTATTTTTGATACCTGCCACATAGATTAAGTCAGTATTCATCTGTTTTAGAAACAGGTCTTAGCAAGTATATTTAGATTAAATTCAGAAGCACTGAAACATCCTTTGGGTAGAGTAGAACCTGAAAGCTCTGGGGCAAAAATATTTCTGCTTTCTTGTGTTCTCTATTCACCAATATTTGTTTTAATTGTATAGCTTCTTCTGGACTGACATTTCAATTACAGGCACTTCAATATTAATCTGAAGATCTTGACTCTGAGTAGTCTTAAATTGGTTAATGAAGTACACTAGTTGGCTTCTATTAACAGCAAAAAGATGTTTATGTATTGCCATAGCTTACATCTAGCATTCCTGAAGGGCACTATTTTTTGCTGTATGTTTTTCAGCAGAGATCCCATCTAGCCACTCAGCTGCCTAAGCTGTTGTAGTGGTGGTACTGCCTTTTTTGGGGAAAAAAAAATAAATCGCATTTGTGGACATATTCTAATCTAGGAATACTCTGATGAAGTTGCTCATACAGCCGGTGTGAACCTGTGTATAGTTGTAGTGGTAGAAACAAAATGTTTTGGTTTAAGGATTTTTCCTACGACTGCTAAGTGACTAATGAGCAGTCGCTTTGAGTCTTAACAAAGATGTGATAAGAGAAACAGGTTTGGGGGCTGCACGAGCAATACAGCATGGCTGTTCTCTGGAACTGGTGTTAGTTCTTATAATTATGGTGTATTTCTCTCTTGCTACACAACCATTTAACTGTGTTTTTTTTCCTCCCTAACTACTGTGTCTGAAGATGTCAGCAGCGGGAGTTAGCAGATCTGTGGGGTTTTCAGTGCCAGCCATTTTAAGTTTTGTGTATTTCAGGGCTTTCTTCTCTGGAATAGAAGATGTAGAAAATGTGAATTTGCAGCAGCACTGCTGAGGAGATATGTGCTGAACCCCTTTTATTGACTTCTGATGGGCAAGATTTAGGTTTCATCTCTTCTCTCAAGGTAGCTTTAGAAAGAGCACAGTAGGTCTTTTGACAGTCCAGCGATTGCCCCACAGATGATCAGTCACGTCTTTCATATGTTGCAAACTTTGAAGGGTCAGGGTACTCCTTTAGGTACTTCTGAAGCTCATATCACCATCATATCCAAGGGCAAGTAGCCCAGAGCACTTGAATATTGAATGCAATCTAATTATGGAGTGATGGCTACATGACTGCAATGAAAGAAGCAAAAACTGTTTGGTGTCTCAAAGGAGAGCCGGTTGCCTAATGAAGAGAGGGGAGAGGCAGGAGGAATCGTGCTCTGGGAGGGGATATTAGACTTGTTGCTGAAATGGAGGGGGAATTGGGAAGGTTTGGCAGCTCAGAAGGGGATTTCCGTTAGGGGGCACATCATTTTTCTAGCAGAGGGAAGAGCTAAGAAATTTGAGGATAAGAACGGTCTATTCTAGAATTTGTAGCACAATTTTAAGGAGGTAACGTTAGATCTTCCACTCCAATTTTACCATTTTTACAGTGCACAGAATAAATTGCCCTTTGTGCTGCTGTGTGTAAGGTTTGGTTTCTAGCCACTTTGTGGATCACCCTTCCACAATTCTAGTTACATGCTAATCTTTGTATTTATAGAGTAACAATTTGTGTGCTTTTTTCCTTCTTTAATTTTTTTTTTTTCAGTATCTGCTTTTATAGTACTTAGCATTCAGGTTGTGTGTTTGAGTAGGTGAGTTCAGACTGTCTTGGGTTTTTTTGCCTTGTGCCTTTCTGGAATGATAATTTGGCAAGACTGAATTATGTATGTTAATGTGATGCTACAAACACACCTATATTCAGATTGAAGGAAGGAGGTAAATATTTTCCTTGACTAATTACCTCTTCAATGTGAGCGTGGAAGTTTCTGCTGAAAAGGTAGTTTTCATTCATATGTGGTTTTGATTTGGTTTTGGTCTTAATTTAGCTCTTTACCACATATGATGAAGACAAATCCATGTGCATATGTTAAAGTCTGACCTTCGGTTTGCTCTCTACATTCACTAATGTGTGTTAAAATATTTTAATATATGGCTTTCCAGGGTCCAGATCAATAAACCAATGGGTCTGAAATGACAGAGTGCTCCGATATTCCTCTGTAATTTAAACATGATTAGCTGATGAAGGTTATGATCAATATGCCAGGGAAAGATAAATTAATTGATACCATCCTTTCAGGATGATAAGAGGCCTATTGGAGGTGGGATGTAACTAATGAAGCTGCTTCTTCATATATACGAGCCATTTTTTATACAATGTATTCTCACTAAATCATGGTTATGCCATCATTCATTTACATGAAAAACATAAGCCTCAGACCAGGTTGTTATTAAAATTCCATTCATTTAAGAAGAAATTGTATGCTTACTCTGCTAAACAATATCTCTGCCTGTCTTATATGTATTGAGGAAAAAATAATCTTGGAATTTACATAAAATCTTTTTATATTTTCTGAATGCTGTTAGTCTAATTACGACAAGTTTCTGTGTGACTGTTTACATAGATGATGTTCTGCCTCACTAACTGGTTTTGGTGGAGACAGTGCAAGTGACTACAGACTCATTTGCACAAGTTTCATGAACTGCCTCGCTTCATGAAGATTACTGCATGTGAGGAAGCTAAATTTAGTTAGTATTGTTTTTGATTAGCCACTACACTAGTCTCTGTTTCTGAAGACTGAAATTTTGTTTACTTTTTAATTGGTGACCCAAAAAGGTAGGCAACAAATGTAGTATAAAGGATTTTATTTTTAGGTATTTATGACCAAAAAAGAGCTCTTTCCAAAGCTGAATAGTGGAATGAACTGAAATTCCATTGTATCACAGAACAAATTTCTGAAGTAGTTTGACTTTTTTAAATTGAAAAATTATAGGAGAGGTATGAAAGTTGCTGCATTTCAGATCAGCCCTGTTTCTGGTTTTTATTATGAGTCTGCTAAGCTGTATATAGAGAAGTTAATGACTCTGATCCCTATCTCTATTTGCTAAATGTTACTTCTCTTTACATGCTGTAGAAAATTTCTTAATAAATTGCAAAATATATTTGTCACTCCCAGCTGTGCTAGTGCTGCTAAGTAACTAAAGCTGAAACTAGGAATCATGATATGGCTTCTTTCCATAATGATTTTGAGTGGGATGTGATGTGTGGCACCACTAATCCAGGTATTCTATGTCAGGGACCCTTTATCAGTTTTATTATTCTGATTATCATTTGTTTCAAAAGCTTTAAAATTGTGGTTTCCAAAACTGATTGTCCTGATGCAGTAGCTGGTAATTAAGAAAAGTCCAAGCCTTCTTGTAAACAACCTGCTTGGACTGGGAGTGATAGCTTTCCTAGCGAAGCTTCTCTCTCTGTTGTAGGGTACCTTCCAGGATCATACTAGTAAATAGCACTGAGATGCACTTGAACTAGATTGTTAGTCAAGTGTGGCTCATATTTATCTTCTCTCTGCAAGGAGAACATCCCAAAGAAGAATGGAAGATGTGTACTGCCATAAACTTTGTTAGTATAATATAAGTATATAGCTGACTTCTTATAGCATTCTTGGTATTGCTTTTTGTAACTTGCACGCCGGACTTTTCCCCTTCTGCTTGGATATTTCTGGTTCTCTGGTGCTTATCTGGTGGAGTGAGAGTTGACATCAGCATCTGTCGCCTTAATTGGATGTATTACTATGAATTTTTGGAGCAAGCTTTGGCAATGGAAAACCCTATTTTATGTTTTGTGCATTCTGTGTGTTTCTGACATACCGTATTTTCTAATGTGTGCCGTATCTTACCTGCCTGTATGTTTTGTTTGTCTTCAGTTGCTCAGAAGATCGTTGCAACAAGAAAGAAACAGCAACTGTCGATTGGACCCTGCAAATCTCTACCAAACTCTCCGAGCCACTCATCTGTGTGTTCTGCCCAGGTTTCTGCTGTACATATCAGCCAGGTACAGACTACAATGAATGCTTGCTTGAAAAAGGAACTGATAGGTTGCTTTTCATCTAATGTATTTAATGCCAGTGCTCTTTTTGCTGCATGATAGGTAGTTGGCATTTTTCTTGAAAGGTATCAGTGATCTGTAGTTTGAAGCAATTTTTTTTTGTTCATTGGCTTGACTTTGTTTCAAGAAACTGCTGCAGTAAAATAGTTTGGCTTTAAAGGCATCTTTGATCATACTGATTTATGCCCAGCAGCCTGCTGTTCTAAGTAGATCAATTGTTACGATAGCAGGATTTGCTGTACTGTGTTGTAAAATTACCTGACTATGTTTTTGGTTATTGTTCTCATTCGGTTGTGTGCTGAGCAATAGCCGGTGTATCTCAGTGGTTAGCATGCGACAGTTCGTGAGCATTGTGCGCAGTTGTAATTGGCTGTCTCTGTTTTGCTCAATTGAAATGATTCCCCTTTAATGACATAGCAATATATGTTGCTATTGATTTGTAGATACTATATGTAAAAGCAAAACAAAATGCTACCTTATTGTGTGGCAGGAAAGTCTGGTGGCCTTGGTGATACTTTTGGAAACTTATGGTTAATACCAACATTTTCTTACTTACACGGTTTTTACCCACATATATTAATACACTCTCCTGTATTTCCCTTGTGATACCCTTCCTCAGTATCTTTGTCTTCTAGTATCAAGTGATAGTCTCTGTATAAATTCACAGTTACAATGCATATAAACTCTATCATTCAGATCCAAGACCTTTGCAGCCAGGCAGATTGTGTTCCTGCTGTGCGCTCTCACTCTCGGCAGATGGACGTACAGTGCCATCATATCGACCCTTACAATCTGTGGCCAGAACTGTGGCCTGGTTTCCTGATTTCCACTATAGCAGTCTGAAATGTCTGATACCCACCAGCTTTCCTGGTGTGTTTTTCAGTCTAAACTCAATGATATGCCGATAACATCTTCTAAGGTTATGTTGCAGTCTTGAGGACTTGAGCCACCCATGTGAGGTTTTGATTTATCTGTGGACCTTTCTCCCACAGTGAGAATGTCTGCTTTTTGGCAAAAAGCAGTATAGTGAAGAAGGGTTCTACCTTTGGGGGAAAGGTTTTTTGAGGGGGTCTCTTGGGTTGTTTGTTTGGGGTGGTTTTTTTTGACATGTTACTATCTCCTGGAAGGGCTTTGTTTAGATTTGTACCACAGGATGAAAGCTGTGGTTCTTTGCTCATAGTGAATGGGCTCTTTCTATGCGCTAGTGGAAACTTTCACCATTGGGTTAACTCTAAAAATGCAGATGCCAGTTTGGTCTTAAGAGTTCTTTGCTGTGAGATGTTCTCCCTTGAGCTGAGCCTGGATACCAACCTCAGACTGTGACTCTCACTTCTGCTGGTTATGTCAAAAGAAAATGCTGAAGTTCAGATCCCCCTTCTAAAGCAGGTGCATGAGTCTTCTGAAGAATCCTGGCACCTTCTGACGAGGTACAAGTTGCCCATATGGAAGAGGTTCTCCCCTTTCTTGTTGTATGTGACATTGATCAAGTTTCCTCAGCCACTCTTTCTGACCAGGTCATTGCCGCAACTGCTTGGCACTAACCCTCTGTATGAAATGCTTTTCTTTCAAACAGTTTCCTCCAGGCAGTTGTGTATGTTCATGCTTTTAGACTGAGGGGAATTATGCTGTCTGTAGGGGCTATCTGAGATCCATCCTATTCAGTGGTGAAAGAGGAAACATGCTATCACAGAAATGTGGAGAACAAATGGCACCATTTCCTGTACCAAACTTATTCGTGGATCCAAGAATGACCTAGGTTACTCAGTCTGATGGTGACTATACAGGTTTTTCAAGACTTTCTAAGGAGTATAGATGGTGCTTTTTACAACGCAATCTTAGCCAGCTGCATCTCTGTCCTGCATTGTCTTAAAGTAGTTGTGGTCACCCTTCTTGGTAATGGAGTTTGTTTGATTAAAGAACATCAACCATCTAGGTTCTCACCAGTTTCCTGCCCAAGTCCAGTTTGGAAGCCAACAACAAATACGAAATTCCAGACAAGTATTTCACCTACACAGCAAACTACTTGCCAGTGATAAGGACTATTTGTGAAAATCAAGACCAAGGTAGCTTTTTTCATAAGAATCCCTATGGTCTGTTTCAGTATATGTGAAATAATATTCTTCCTTTACCAGCTGGCATAATTATCTAATGCGGCAACTGCAACACCAGTCAAAGATGTCTGTCTTCTGAGATTGACGTAATGCCTAGGAGTATAGGCCATAAATCTGTTTCATGTCTTATTGCCTTTGTGCTACACTTAAAGGTAATACAGCCTTGTTTAAGGAAAGGAAACTGAATCCTTATCCTAGACTTAAAAGAACTTTGCAACTGTAATTCGAAGTTTAAGATGATCTGGGGGAAGATTTAGCATCTCTGATCTTGGCTGGAAGACTGGCTGGTGTCTTGCTCTTTAGAACATCTCTTTTGACACAATGATGTTTCACTGAAGATTTCCTCCATGAATCAAAAATGTTGTTGTTATAGTGCCCTGCCATTTGCATTCTCCACAGGAGTGAAAGCCTTCAGAAGTAGTGGTTTCACAGATCAAGTCAAGATGCTGTTCCTTCTCTGGTTGGATCACTCTGGTGATCTAACTCATGCAAACTCTTCAGATGACTCTGGAGTCAGGAGCTTAGGCTTTAGAGAAAGAAAAAAAAAAGTGTCGCCTTACCCAGTCAGTCTAGTCCTTTGCATACCTTGGGGGAAATTCTAAGTCTTAATACCAGCAAGGGCAGTTTTCAAACAGTGAAAGACTTGTTTGTGTGTTTGGATGTGTATCTATACTCATGTCCAGTAGTCCTAGGTGGTGAACCCCTAGGTAATGTCCCCTTCCAGAAAAAGCTCTCAGATTTGTCTACACTCAGGCACTCTAGAGAGCTGTTTCATGGAATGAGATGTCTCCTATTCCAGTGACAAAATCCACTTGTGTTTGCAGTAGGTGCTCCTTCTGTGTTCCTTCTCTGACTTTTTGTTTATAATGCATGTATGTCAGTCAAGGTGAGGGTTTTACTTGGAAACCTTTGATAGCCAGAGTCAATAACCCTTGGTGCAAGTACTTCACACGCATATGTTGGCTTTCATGGCAGCACAGAGTGCATGCAAAGAATTTTATTCTCAAATCCAAGTATGTCATTCATGATTTGTGATGGACAGAACTATTGTATACTCTGTCAACAAGAAAGATTGTGCAATATTCCTTATATTCTGCTAGGAAAGAATTAATCTGTCTGATGAATTGAGAAGTACTTCAGTCAGCAGCTCACCTTCTGTTTTTTCTGAACGCTTCAAGAGGTAGACTGAGTTGTTCTGAGAGGACGAAGTATTGTTTAGTGTATTGAAGGCCCCTTGTCAGCCACAGGGCATCTCAGGATAGGTCTTTTTACTTTGTCCATCAACAAGAAACGCTCACTGGGGGTGTACAGACCAGTATCTCGTGTCCTCCCCATCTCTGTCCCACCTTTGCTTTCCTTCCATCCCACACCTTGCCAGTCTTTCACACCTGACACGCCTGTAGACCATGCTAAATCTTATTTCAAAAGACCATGTGTTTCTCTTACATCACAAAACCATACAGGCATTCCCTTTCCCTTCCCATTCCTGCACTGATGGAGCTGCTTGTCCTTTACACCTGGCATATCAGGAAGGCATATCTGTGATACAGTTTAAGATACCTAAGTTACAAGAATAGTGCTGATATCCAGCAATTTCGAAGGGCTCTTTTCTCTGCCCTGACTCTGAAAGTGGAGATCATCTTGTTCCAAACACCATGAGGCTGCTCAGGTGGGCACTGCCTTTGGTCCTCGGTGCATTCCACCTGAGCTTAAGATGCATCAGAAATCTGTGTGAAGTAGCCCTGTGCTGGGTAACTTGTTGAGTAGTTACCTGGAGCTGTGCCTATTTTTAAGTTTACACGGTTGTAAAAACATCTGAAAATCATGTGGCACGATACCTGTTGTTGCTGTTTACGTGAAAGGCTTCGGGCCCCTCTTCAGACAAATTGCTGTGGAGATGGAATCCCCAGCAGTGTGAGCTTACTTGTGGACTATGGTTTTTGAAGGTAAAATAAAAAGTTTATATACCAGTGACTATACTTCCTTGAAATCTGTAGTCTTCATGTATTTTCACACTTGCTGTCTTTCCTGGAAGTCAGCTGTTTTATGTTCTGCTGTGTGAGAGGATTGAAATGGCTCTATGTCCTTGCCAGATGGGCCTGCACTTTTCTGTGTCTGCCTGTACTACATGTGCTCTGCCATGACAGAGAGGGCCCTTAAACACCACACCTTCCACGCTCTGAGTCTAAAAATATTACCAGAGTGAGTACTGAGTGCTACCAGGTAAAGTCACCCACAAAATCGTAACACACATAGACTGCAGTGCAAAGAAATGTGTTTACTGGTCAGCAGTGTCACTATCCTAGGAGATTTGCGTCATACCCGAGAAAGCTATAGAGCTCAACGTAGATCGTACTAACCTGCAGCTGAGGTATGGCTAGCGTGCAAGCTTGCTCCCTACTACCTGCTGCAAATCTATAAAGATGTATTATTTATGCTTACACTATGCCTTCATAAAGTTTTTACTACAGCATGATTGTCTAAATATGTAAATTAAAATATTAAAAGTGCAGTCAGCTTAATCATCCATTATTTTACTGTATATGAGACCTGATTACGGATAAGCACTAAAGAGTAGGGTACAATTATCCTATTTATACTGGGGGTCATTTGGGATGAAATACTCTGTTGTGGTATTTTGGGCACTTGAATAAAGAAGAGCTTAACTAGCTTGTCCTTCTGCTTTTTCATGTAATTGCAAAACAAAAACTAAAAGAGAAATGAAAACAATATTTAATACCATTGCAACATACATTGTGATTCTTTTGTATTTACAGGGCTATTTCTAAGTAATCTCTAACATTTATTTAAAATAAGCATTTTTTAAATATATGT